GGCGCAATATGGTTCATGGGGTCACGAAGAGTCGGACACAACGACTGAACAACAACAAATATTTGTGTGCAGAAGCTGCTCAGTTCCATGGAGAAACTTTCCACCAACAATCAGTACTGTTGGAAGTGAATCCACAAAGTCAAGGGAAGGATTTTTGCAACACATATAATGGATGCTAAAGGTCCTAGGCTCAATCTCTGGCCAAGGGTCTGGAAAAAGATCACTGCATGAAACCCTAAAAAGTTGCTGCAAACAGTGCTAAACTAGATGGACAAATCAAGAAGACATCAAAAGAACCTTGCTAGGTCAAGCCAAGGGCTCATTTAGTCCATAGGAGACAACCACAATGGGACATTCAGGAAGCCCACAGGTATAGGCAAGATGAACAAGCATGTCTTTCTTGATATGAAGTCACTTCTCACATTCCCCTTATTATTGAAAACCTTCCCCAGCCCATGATCCTCTATATGTTTTGGACACAATGCCCATCATCCCTAGCCATTGTGTGAAGATGTTTGCTAAGAGGGATGGCTAAGGAGGGATAGGCAGGTTGGGCAATGCTATATTAAGCAAAGTTTATGTTCAGTTGGAAAGAAAACAAATATGCCTTTCACCAGCCCTTTGTTCTTCTTTCACTCTAAAAGTTTGTAGAAAATTCCATTTGCAGCAGCAGGCTTTCCTAAATCAAAAATATGGATGTGCCATTTCCAATATATGACTTAGTTGTATTCTTTACAATTGCAAGATTCATGTAATTGTTCCAACCCAAGAGTAGAGAAAGGAGTAATAAAGGATCTGACTAAACCATATATAGTATGCTCTACAGTTCTTTTAAAAAAGTAATTATGTGAAGCAATGATCCCCCTTTATTGTATGGGTAGAGTACAGTAAAGACTGCATTTAAGGGAAATGAACCAATTGTGGGGACACCTGTTTGTAAGGCCCAGTTGCTCAAGGCTTCTTTTCTTGGTATTGGAAAGGATGATCTCAGGAGACCTTGAGGAAGACAGGGTTCTGCAAAGCAGTGTGGAGACATTACTGTATTAGGCACGAAGAAGTGTCTGTATAAATCATCTGACAGATTAATAGCTGGTAAATTACAAACAAATAGACAAACAACCTCAATTGAAAGGTAGGGGAGGCAACTCCATTCCAACTTTCTAGTAATTCTAGGGTGGGGAGAAGGGTCATGCAATTAGCCTTAGTGTTCTTATTTAGTTTTCCTAGCAATGACAATATCATAAATTCTCCAGTGCAATTTAGGAAGGAAAAGGGGTAAACCAATGAGG